TGTATGTTTGTTTGGGTGGGGTGCCCTTTTTGGAGGGCAGAATAAGATTATGTGGAGCTAAATCTCCCCCTGCCCACAGCCTCTTATATCCAAACCTAGGGCCTCCCACCTCCTGGGGGAGAAGCTGGTAGGCAGGGCCTTTCTCTGGGGTTCCCTGGAGGGGGGTACAGGCCTCACTCTCAGAGACTCACCCCTCACTCTCTGCTTGACCGCCACGTAGACAGCCACGGTCTCTGCATAGCGGAGGCCCTCCTTCACGCCGCACCAGTACCAGCCTTCGTCGCCCCCGGTGACTGGGTTCAGGGTCAGGGAGACCAGCTGGCTTCTCTGGTTGCAGTCTGTGAAGGCCTGGCTGGGGCCCTCGGCTTTGCTGGGCAGGGTCCTGCATCCTGTTTTGCTCCACTTGCACCAGTATTTCTCATAAGCATAGTATTTGCACGGGAAGTGGCAGGGGAGCTGCAGAGTCTCGTCCAGCCAAGCAGTGACATTCTCCGGTGCCTTGAGGCTCGGCTCTCCTGGAGCAGGGAGGGAGGGAGCAACGGGCGCAGAGCTTGGATGGGTGATGACGCAGGGAAAGGCTGTGGTGGGGTCCTTTGTCCACAGCCTGCTCCCTCTTTGGAAGGCATGGTAAGTAAATGCATTCTACTGAATACGTTAGAAATGTTATTCTGTGCCTGTGTGATAATTATTACTGGCCACCACCATGAACCAGTGCAGCCTGTCATGGAACACAGAACTTTGCAAAGTGACTTCAGCTTGCTTTCCTTGCTCTTCTCTTCTAGACTCAATACAAACAGCACTCTGCCTCAGCCGACGCCATATCTAGTGTCAAATAGGCAGATGCTTCTGATAATAGGCAGTGCTACGTATGGTAGTTGGGAGTGCGAGGTGTGTGCAGGGACGGGAACTTGTTACAAGTATGCACACATGACCTCCACAGGTGGGCTCCCTCCGGAGGTCGGCCCCATGGGCATGGAGTGGTGAGGTCAGAGAAGGAGTGCTTGTGGGGGCAAGCTGCTGACTGGAGGGTCCTGGGGCTGCCTCCTTTCCCTCTTGCTCTGGCTCGGCTCTTACCTTCAACGATCTTGAGCTCCACTGTGGACCTCCAGTGAGGATCACCGCTGGTCAGACACCAGTAGAAGCCGGCATCCTGGGCAGTGAGCTGGTTGAGAATGACCGTGTAGGTGCCGTTCCCTGGCTCCTCGTACAGTGCCAGCCTGCCTTCGTACTGTTCCTTCACCAGCCCCTTGCTCCCCACCAACTGCAGGCACTGGCCATTTTCCCAGCGACACCAGTACTTGAAGCTGTTTGTCTCCTTCGGGTTGTAGGAACAGAGCACAGCCACAGAGCCTCCTACAACACCCTTGACCACAGAGGGACTACGGGGAATCACGGACTCTAGAAGCACAAACAGAGATGGCGTGAAAGAATGGAAAATGGTCTGGCAGCTCCTTCCCCACGGTCCCAACCAGGCTGGGGAGTGAGGTTCAGCCTCATCATTCATCTTCCTCAGAAAATGTAAAAAACTTCCCTAAAGTCACAGAGCTGCAGCTGGAGCCATTCAACAAGATGCCAGTGACCTTGACCCCTAGTCTGGCCATTTCATTCCCCTTCCCCACCTTATTTCTGAACAGAGAATGGAAGGAGTTTAGGAGAAACTATCAGCCCTTCTCCTTGGCTTTCTTACAAAATCTCCCTTTATAGGAAATGTTGTCTGTTTATTAGCTTGTCCCACAAAAAAATGGCCAGATGGTTTTATTCCAAATTAAGAAAATATATTTAGAAAGGCATGATCTAAAATATAAAACCACATAGCATAGATAAGTTTGATTGTTGAGGACCATCTCAGAGAGAAGGACGGTCCGTCTCCAAGAAGCTAAAGCGGAGGTCCAGGGAGAATCCTGGACAACTGAGGAATGTGGTGAGGGTCATGCAGGCTACAGAAATGATGCGCACAGCATGTAAGCCCCTAAAAGCAAAGTCGCATGGATAGCGACATTGTCCTGCAAGTGCAGTTGGCTGTTTCTCATGAGATAACGTGACGCAGAGTGCTCTGGGATGAGAAGGAGCAGGGATTTAATTATTTCGCCAAGTTGGTGGTTTGCCCAAGCAGAGCCAAGTAGGCCAGACACTGCAGCAAAGACAAATGACACTAAGGGATGTTGGAGGGGGACATTTGGAGGCTGGGGCACTGCCTTCCTTGGAAGCTTTGAGACCAAGATAAGCCAATCCTTTCCCTGAGTGTGAGGGATGAGATGCCACCCTGCTCAAGGGTCGCGGCGAAGGGGCAAGCAGCCCCGGCACGCCCGGCCACGGCACTGGACTCCATGTTACGTCCTCACCGCGGCTCTTTTGAAACCCAGACAGTCCACAGGGTTTGCCTCTATCAGGAGCTTCAGTCTCCTTGCTCTTATTAGTGAGGGACAACCACCAAAAAGCCTTTGAAAACAGAGAAGAATCAGGAGGAAACGCCAGGCAGAGGCTGTTTCCCAGCTCTCCTGCACAGCTGCCCACGGCTCCCAGTCTGGGGCTTGTCAGTGAGCAGGTATTGTTGGCTGACTGGCGAGTATTGAATAGATTCACAGGGGTGAGTTGCACGCTCACCTGCCAGACGGCCACCTGCCTCCCCTCCCTCTCCCAGGTCTCACCTTCATTGACGAAGAGTTCCCAGGCCTGGGTGGGGGAGCCGTCCTGGGGCTGACCGTGAGAGTCAGCTCCGCACAGGTAGAGCCCCGCGTCTTCTTTCCTCAGCCCGGTGATGTGCACACTGAATAAGCCTTTCTTGTCACTGAGCAGGAGCAGGATCCTGCCCTCGAAGTTCTGAGCCCTCTTCCCAAGAGTGTTGATGATCACGTCGCAGTCTTCCCCACTGCCCACTCGGCACAGAAATTGGGCCCCCTTTGCCTTCTCGGGGTCCAGGGCACAGTCGAAGGTCACCGAGCCCCTCAGGTCTCCATAAAGCAGCTCAGGTTCAGGCTTTATCACTTGGAGGTCAGCATTTCTCTTATCATGGCTGGAATCATCCCCAGCCTGGCAGACATACATCCCGGCATCGCTGAGCCGCAGGTTGCTGATGACCAAGCTGTATGCTAACTGGCTGGTACCCTGAATACTAAGCTTTGCCCTGCCACTGTAGCTGGGGTTCACATACCCGTTGGAGTCAGTGACTAGGACACAGAGCTGGCCTATCTTCTTGCACACAGACTTCTTCTTCTGAGAATTCTCAGCCTTGAAAGAACAGTTGATGGTCACTGTTCCACCCAGGTCTGCTGTGTAGATTTGAGTGTCATTTACGAGCCCAGGACCTGCAAAATAAGGAGTAGGGGGCAAGCTGTGATTTCACTGTCTTGCGCTATAGGACTCTTCATTGTTCCCAGTAAGGCTCTGGGTATGCCTGTCACCTGGAATGCCCTCCTCCCCAGAGGGACACTGTTAAGCGTATGTCTTCCCAGGCCCAGCTTTACTGCTGTCTCTCCCATGGAGCCCTCCCCCAGCTGGCGACTAATCTCTGCTTCCTCTGTGTTCTCGTGTCACTACATCCCATCTGTGTGTAGCTAATTGTTTCCCCCCAGGAAGTCCCTGGAGGGTAAAGCTGTGCTTCATTCATATGTGACTCCCCTGAACTGCCTAGCATGGTACCTGTACATAGTAGGGACCCAAATTAACACGTTTTGAAGCAAACAGAATGAATGTAAGTAGGGTGGTGGATTTTGGTGTGTTATGATACAAGTTTCTAAAATCTACAACAGTTGAAACATGCAATAGGCTGCTCTGTGAAGTCGTGAATTTCTGCCTTTTACAGGGTTTAATCAGAGGCTGTGTACCTGTCGCCAGTGTCCGGGACCTCCTACACAGGGGCAACTCTGAGCTGTCCTTGGCTCTTAAGCGTCTGCTTTCTAAGCTCCATGACCGCCTGAATGAACCCTCTGCTCAGTCTACAGACAATACTGGGTACGTCCCGAAGGAGCAAAGCATATACCTTTGGGAATCCCTCCAAATTTCCTCCAGACCTAAGACCTAAGACTTAAGATCTAGCACCTCTTTATCTTTGAATTTCCCCTGATTGCCTAAAATGCCCTGTTGTTGGGCCCTCGTCAGAAAGGTCTTTCTTATTTTTCTCTTTTCTCAGTTAGAACAGGCTTCAGCACGTTCAGCAGCCCATCCCTTCGGGGTCCTGATCTTTGGGCAATAACTGATCATTTACTTTGTGGATTCCAGGTAAAAAATACCTTTTAAAAGAAGCCTTTTGGTGACCAAAGTCTGGCTCTAAAGGGTGCGCTAATGGCAGGAATTTAAGGATCCCTCTAAATCTCTCCCTGCCTTTTCTGTCTTCCCCTGCTCAGAGACCTCTTGTCCCACCTGCAACACAGTGAGAGAAGCAGTCCTCCTGACGCTCTTCGAAGCTGGAGCCTGATTAAACCCTAAAATGGTACAGGCTTTGAAGGCCTGCAAGGTTCACCAGCCCCAAGGACGTCCCATCTATCTCGTTCCCATGTTCTATTATGAAAAGTCCTTGCCTCCAGAGAGGGGAGGACTCCGCCTTCCCCACCCTGTGCCAGGACATCCTTTCCTCTCAGGAAATTCTTCCTCAAGCCCTGCTTTTACCCCTCTCACTTTTCCACGGGAACCTAAGGGGCCTGTGTCCTTACCCAGCCTGACCTCCAGGCTCACGTCAAAGGACAGGCCGCGGCTGCTAATGCCCAGGCCACACTTGTAGTGCCCAACATCGCTCTGGGTGAGATGGCCAATGTCCACCACAAACATGTTGCTCTCCGGGAAGTTGGTGAGGTTGGCCCTGCCTCTGTACTCCTCAGAGACGTAGCCCTCGGAGGAGATGAGGGTTGTGCAGCGGCCCTTGGCTCCCTGCCGGCACCAGTACTTCCGGGAATGCCGGTTGACAGAGGTGTCTGGGTAGTAGCACGTGATGGATGCTGAGCCGCCTTCCACGCTTTGCACCTCCTGGGGACCGAATATGGGACTCTTCATGGAGACGGCTGGGGGACAAAAGACAGAGACTTTCTGAGGCCGTGGGAGGCAGAGCTTGCTGAAAGGACCCAGGCTGCCCACCTTGGGAGATGACATTTTCCTCCTAATACATGTGCCTCCTGTGGGTTATTTACCAGCATTGCAGCTGGACAGTCGCTGTTGGACAATTGCTATGATCAGGTAAAATGACTGATTAATCATTAAATTCTAATTGTAATGCATTCATGGTAAGTCTTTTAAGGACAATGGAATGGCAAACTTATTTAATGATGTCCCTCGTTTATTAAAAAAAACAAAGCCACCCTTTGCATTTGTTATGTAAAATTTCTTAAAATTCCAAAACCACTTTGTAGATTACTTTCTTTTTTTTTTCTGGGGCAAAATACTGAGATCCAGAAAGGGGAAGTCATTGCCCTTAAACCCCATAGAAACACACAGAGATGTTTAGTTCAAGGTCGAGGTCTTTTATTATTATTATTACTATTCCCAGTGGAGACCCTTCACCAGACCCCTGGCCTGGAAATGGGGAATCGCCATCTCTCATCCCAGTGCTTGCTCACCAGTCCAGTTTCAGAGAGGCATCCCTGGGGATGGGCCTGATATGGGTGTACCCAGGGAGTTGGGTCCTATGAGGGAGGGGGGCGCTGGGACCTGGCAGACACACCTGAGAAAAGAGTGAGCAGAAAGGTGAGGAAGAGTAGCTTCATCGCTGGTGGCTTCTGTGGGGCTGCGCCGCCCGGGCCAACTTCTCTCACGGGCTGCTGAAAGACAGTGCACAAAGGGAGGGAGTGCCAAAGCCTTCCAAGGCTAACTGACCTGAGAGTTCCTGTAACACCTGCTCAGCTTGGTGTCCTCAGTAACTCACATAAATCCTGGGGAAAGAATGAATGACTCCGCCTTCCTGTTACAGCTCAAAGTCCCATTATCCCTCAGTGTATTTAGTCATTTAATAGTTATAAGTAGATGCTTGTTTTCTCAGCTAAGCAGGGAGTTCCTTTGGAATAGGGACACAGGTGCCATTTCCTCTGTATCTCTGTCCGGGAGGCACGGTCCCTAAGATCTCAGAAACAGCTGGCCAGGTGATACCTGACAAGTGGCCCCATCTCTCCATCTCAGCTGCCATCCCTACATCTCTAGAAGGTGGAGGCAGCCTGGTGTATTTTACATTGGGTTCCTGTGAGTGAACCAAGACCCACAGAAGAGACCTAGTAAAAATTAAAGTTGTAGATGTAGTGAAGAGGGTCAGAACCACCCATTGTTCTCTGCCATGTTTCAGGCACCATGTTAAATCATGTACGTGTGTTGTCTCATTTAAACTTGACATCACTCCTTTGAGGAGGGTATTCTTATCCATAAGGAATGGAAATGAAAGACACAGGAGGAAATGAAAGTTTAAAGGTTAAGTGCTTTCCTCGAGGTCACATAGGGGAGTAAGCGTGTGGGCGGGTGGGGTGGAGGGGGGGCAAGATTTGAACCTAGTTTTGTCTGATTCTGAAGTCCCAGCTCTGAGGCTCCCCAAGGCACTGGATTGTACTATTTATACCGAAATACAGCAGTGCGCTCATCCCTTGCTCTTATTCCTGTTATTTGTAGACCCCCATCACTACCACGGGACCAGCATTCGCATGATTTCACGGAGCCGTATCACTTCCTTTACATAAGACAGAAAGGAGATCATCAAAACCATTTTATGGGTAAGGAAATCAAGGTCTTGAGAAGCTGGGTGACATGCCCAAGATTTCCCAGAAACTTGGTTATGGGGTCAGGGTTAACAATGCAGGTGTTGTAGCCTTTGCTCTTCTGTCTGATGAGCCAGGGCACGAAGAGGGACAATCAAGGTAAGGTCTGGGGCATAGCCCAGGGCTGGGGAGGGCTGAGGGTCACAGGCCCCAGCCTGACTGCAGCTGTTCTCAGGACCCAAACTGCAGCCTAGAGGGAGGGAGAGGAGTCCCTGCCTCCTCGTGGACTTTGACAGGCTTGAAACTTAGGGATGGACTTGATGAGAGTGTTAAAGAGAAGACCGTGTAACAGCCCTGGGTGGTAATGAGCACCTGTAAAGACGAGGAAGCTCGAAGCAGAAGGAACCTGGGCATGATCGCCCAACTCCCCTAATTGCCTTGGTCCTGTCCCTGCTCCCAGAGACTCCCTTCACCAGCCTGAGCCAAAGGCAATAGAACTGTTTATCTTGGGTCTTTCTTTTCCGTGGGGGAATTTCCCAGCAAAGTACCTTATTGTTTCCTTGTGGAGATAAAGGTATTCTGTTTCCCCAGTTCTCTGGAGGAGTGAGGGGAGCGGGTTAGGGGAGGTGGGGACAGATATGGGTGTCAGGTGGCAGCCTGAAGCTCTCTTGATTCCGGTTAATTGCCCCGGGCATTTCACATCAGGCCAATGATTAACCTCTGGAGTGGGGCTTTAGCCAAAAGCCAGCGTCAGCCCCAACTGGGACGCACTCAGGGGACACTGGCTGGGGGACCACCTGAGTGGGCACAACGATCACAGTAGGAGAGGCTCTCGGGGAGCAGTGTCAGAAGGCTGGGGAGTGCGTCTCCCCTAGAACGGTGGGGATGGGCTGGCTGCAGAGTCCCTAGTGATCCGCCACTTGCCATTTGCACCGTCCATGGGTACAGTGGCAGGTGGGGGGGTGGCGAAATGCCATCTGCTGTCAAGAGCCCAAGCCAGCAGCACTCTTCTTGGTTCTAGTTCCTGTTCTCACCTTTAGATAAGCAAGCTTCCTAACATTTCTGTGAGACAGGAGTGATCTCCCCACGGGCTGAGCTGGGCGTACCAACCCTGCTGTGGATTGGTAAAAGGGATTTGCCCTGAGCTACAGAGAGTCAGATGCCAGCTTTTCCAAACTGGGGATCCTGACTTCCAGCCTAGGCGTCCTCTCATCTGTGACACATTTGGGTGGCCATCAATGTCCATAATGAGGACAACATGCACGTGTGCCCACTACCCTTTGCACAGCACCAGGCCAGGGATGAAAGCATCAGGCATGCATAGCCACAGAGGGTGACCTTGGCGAGGAAGCACACAGTTCTGCCCAGGGGAGAGGATGGGAGGGCCAAGACCCCAATGCTCTCAGGAGCAGGAAATCTTCATGTCCCAAAGCTAAACTTGAAGCACAGTTTCTCTGCTAGCAGCTGAAAGGACCCTGGGCTTTGGGAATCATTAGAGATCCCTTCCTTTCAAAACCAGACAATCTCCCAAACCTGGAGAGTCAGGTGTCAGGGCAGCCCCAGTTCCACGGTGGCTGAAGATGTATTACAGGATTTGCTTAAGGAAGGAAATAAAGAACAAGATATTTATCAGACTCCTGTTGTGCACCAGGTGCTTTGCTAACTGCTTTTCTTATGTGGCTTCATCCATCTTCACAGCAACCCAAGAGGTAGAAATTATCTTCATGTTGCAGATGGGAAATAGAAGTGCTAGAAAGATTCCTGGCTCCCGGATCCGCAGAAGAATTGGATCACCACCCTCTCATCACTCCTTGGAGGAACAGAGGGAGGGGGCTGTTCTTTGGGATATACAGATGCTAGTACATTATGCAAGAAGGTAGATTTTCTGGTTCTTAAGTAGGAGCTGTTTTTCCCTTAAACAAGGCTGGGCTATTCTAGATCATCCTCATATTGCCAAGTTACCTCCACTGATATATTCATAACATACATCTACACAGTTGTGGACTGGGACAGGGGTATAGGCCATGTTGGAGAATAGCATTTGTCTTCTTAGAAAATTGATACAGCTAGTTCCCCTTCAGTTAGAATGACTGGTCTTCAGCTCTCATGGCTTGGAGTTCAAACCTTTCTCCCTCTCATCTTAGGTTTCCTCCTTTTCAAGAGAGAGAGGGATTGCCTGGACCAGGTCCTGGCTTGGCTGCTGGTGAGCCACATGGCCTTCAGCCACTCTGGGCTCTTCACCCGTTTGGTGCATAGCAGAGGATAAGTTGGGACTCACAGCGTCAGAGGCTTCAGAGGGGACAGAGGGCATGCACTTTGGGGACATGAAGCAAGTTAGCATTTTCTGAGAACTTCCTGTGACTATGAATTTGGAGGAGCAGGAAGTGTGGAGCTCAGAGGGGTGGGAAGCAGCTGGCCTGCCTAGGGAGGAGGCTCTCCTTGGCCCCTTCCCCTGCTTCCAGGTGAGGCACTGCCTGGGGCCGTTTGGGACTCTCACTCTCATGTCCCATGGGTGCAGAGGCCAAGCACAGACTAGAGGGAGAGAGAGCATTCTGTGTGGTCTGGAAAAGCCTTGGGAGGGCCTCAGACTTGTAAGGACAGACAGGAACTTAAGAGAATTTATGTAGCTTGCATAAGCCCTGGCATGTGGGAGAGTCTCCAGGTAAAGGTACTGTTGGGGGAAGAGGGTCAGAGCCCCAGAGGACTGAGAGATGGAGAGCATACAGTCAAGGGATGTGGAGAATGTATGAGTTGGAAGGATTCAAGACTTTCTGGCCACATCCCTGTCAAAAGTGGCCTGCAAGACTTAAGTAGAAATTAAGCATGTGAAATACCAGCTCCACGAAGCTCTGGGAATAAGTCTTGGATTTCCAGGCTGCCTTTCAGCAAAGACTTAGAACCCCTGTTATGTACTCCATCCCGTTCTATCTTGATGTGTAGGTATTTGTCTCATACAGTCTACCAGGTAGCAAGTTTCGGAAGGCAGGGGCCGACTGAGACCAATATGGCTGTCTCCAGAGGGCCTTGTGTGAGAGTGCCTGGCCAGGACGAGCTGCTCAGCAAAGTTGGGTAGGATTGGGAATGGTCACGTGCTCATTCCCTCTCTGAGAAGGACAAAGTCAGGGCTGATGTTTTCCACTGTGCCAAATGCCTTTTTAATCTGGGCTCTCAAGGGACAGTAACATGAAGAGAAGCCTGGAATATGGAAGAGGACCCAGAGGTCCCGAGTGGTCCTCTGTTACAGACTGCCAGAAGAGTCCTGCCACGTGGGCAAAGTATGCTGGCTCAAGAAACTCGTCTGTAAAATGGGCATCATAGTCCCCAACTAGATGGAAGTGCTCCTGTTGGATGGGGGAACATGGAAGGGGGCAATGAGACAATGTATATGGAAGCACTCTAAAATGTATAGTGTTTTTAAACTGTAAGAGGTTATAATTACTCTTCAGCACAGGAGGGTGGGGGTCTGTGCACTTGACTTCCCCCTGAAGGGCAGCACAGAGCACGGACTCCTCAGCGTGGCTGGCAGCTCTCTGACTTGGGGGCTGTGTGATTTGAAGGCAGGCTACTTAAACTCTTTGAGCCTCAAGTCCTCGTCTGTAAACTGGAGATAATTCTACCTCCTATAGAGAGTCATGAAAGAGATTAAATGAAACAACATTTAGGTTGTTTATATACAGGACTTTATGTCCTGTATAATGTCGAGCTTAAAAAAAGTGAGTTCCTTTTCCATCTCCTCTCTAAAACCAACACAGCCTTCTCGTTTTCCTGTCCCAGTGTGAGAAGAGAACAGAAGTCTGTTAGCTAGGCATCTTTTGAAGACTGGGGGTGAGCTGCTAGGGTTGGACCAGCCTGGCCTGACAGAGGAGATACGCATGACGGACTAGGGTAGACATGGGGGATGATCATTACGGCTGGCACCTACTGAGTCACTTTCAAGTGCTTCACTTGTGTTAACTCATTCCATCTTTGCGGTCCCCCAGGAGGGTAAACTCTTTTCCCAGATCAAACAACTGAAGCACGCAGAAGGAAGACACGTGCCCAGCGTAATACAGCTGCTAAGTGACTGCAGCAGGATTCCACTGCAGGCGCTCTGGAGCCCGGGTATAAGCTCTCAGTTGCTATGTTACACTGGGGAGGGTCTTGAGGTTGGGAGGAAGCAGCAGAGGGAGGAGAGAGCAGGAAATCCAATCCTAGAGAAGTCAACCCAGTTCTTTCCTCCCCACTTTTCACAGGAAAGGTAGTTCCTGTGAAGAGCAACCTGAACCCAGAGCTAGGTGCCAACAGAGAAATTTCCTCCTAGAAACTAATAATAGCTGCTATTTATTTAGCATCTACCATGTGTAAGGCATGTCACATTTGTTTCCTGTCATCAGATCCATTACCTCCAAAGCTCCTTTCTACTCCACACTGCCAAAGCCAGTAACTGCGGGATCCGCACGGAGCCCACCCAGGGAGAGGGCAAGACAGCGATGAGGGGGGCTCCGCTGAGCACATGCATGGTCACTACAACTTTTTCTTTTCAAGCTGGGTATCTTGTTTTTTGGGTGAGGTCAAAATGTCTTCATGACCGTATCAAAAGGGCCGTGCCAGGATGTCATCATTTGTGTTATCATTTGCTCTTGTTGGGTGGCCTTACACCACTCACATTAACTCATGGAGTCTTGGTTTCCTCAAATGTCAAATGGGATTGTGATACCTGCCCTCCCTCCCTCCCAGGTTTGTTTCAGGTGGGGATGAGATGAAGCTGTGGAAGCCCAGGTAAGTGGATGCACTGCGTGGATGCTGCTGCTATCGCGTGATATATAAAATGAAGCCACATGTGAGGAGAGATGGGCCGTGATCACAGAGCTAGTTGTTCTCCCGACCCCTGGCTCTTTGCTCTTGCAGCTACATACCTCATCCAGGGCCAAGGAGAAGGAGGGATGGAGAGTTTCAGGGCTGGCTCTGGGCAGACCAGAGGGCCACCTTCTGCCCTCAGCCATGCACTGGCACAACCCAGCTCCAGATGTTAAGGAACCTGTAATTCCCCGTAGTGAGGGCGGAGAGCGATGGCAAAGGCTTTGGTGCAAAACAGTACAGGTAGCTGGGGTGGCCCCAGCCCCGGAGGCAGATGCTCGAAAGGAACTGGGGGGGTTGGAGGGATGGAGCTCGCACAGATGCTATGCCTGTGCCGCAGGGCCCGTGCTGGCCTGGGGATGCCGTCAGGGCAGGCAGTGGGGAGGCCTATGTCTGAGGCCACCTGGCCGCACAGCCAGCAGGAGCACCAGGACTCAGGAATGCTGCCCATGCCTGGGAGTGGGCCCTGCTCGCCTTGCTCACTGACCCTGGAAGGACCTCACTGTCCCCACTGTAGCCAGGGCAGGGTGACATGGTACACGTTATGCCTTGGTGTGGCAGGAATCAGCTGGAGCAAGCTGGGTTGAAGTTGGAAAGGAGCGCAGAGCCTCTTTGAAGCCCAGAACAAGGGGCTGCACATGCCCTCACCAGAAAGCTGGAAGTAGACAACTCCAAAGACTAGAAAAGAACCGGCTATGTGCCTGCCAGGCACTTTATATGCATTATTTTACCCTGGTCCGTCTGCTGCTCAATAAGTCCATGAGTAATTGAAAGTTCATTGAAAAACAGCAAGTACTTGTTATTTCACTCTAGGGGTTACAAAGCAACTTTACACACATTTTCTCATTGGAATATCACATCAACCCTGAGTGACAGGTGTTATTTGTATCCCCATTTTACAGATTAAGAAACAGGCTCAGAGAGTGATTAGGTGACTAGCCTAAGGACACACAGTTAAACTATGGAAAGGTCAGAGAATTCAGGGGCCACACTTAGCTGACCACAGACCTTCCTTCTTCCCACCTGCTATTTTGCAGCAAGGGAGTCGGGGCTTCTGCCCACAGGCATCCTTACTCATCTCTCTCTTCTCCCCCACGTGTGCTCAGCCACACGGGCAGCAGCCCTTGCCCTCCTCACCCCACGCTCTGTTGGCTGGGAGCTGGGAATGGGGGCACAGCCTGAGCCACCATCCCAGGCCCTTCCCAGATGGCATCCCCTCTGGGGATCCCAGAGCAGCCACACTTACTTTTTAGCCACTTCCTCCTCTCCCGTCGACTCAGTTTCGGGGACACAATCTGCTGGCCAGTCCACAACCCCTGCCTTTCTAGAAGCTGCCAGGAGGACACTGGATGCCACTGCTAAAACTGAAACTGTGCCGCGCTTGACCCACACCTGGGCTCTTAAAGGGACACTCTCCCACAGGCATGGCGGCTGGCCAGTGGCACGTGACTCACGGATCCCTTGCTTTCCTTTCCTTTAGGCTTTCCTGACCTTGGGAGACACTGTTCCTTGGAAATCCTCCATCATTGCAGCTGCAGGATGCGACGCAGAGTACCAAGCATGGAGACCCTATTCTGCCCCTTCCGAGCTGCAGGATTCTAGGCAAGTCACCTTCATATTTGTTTTCACCTGGAAAACAGGTATAGTAATACAAAACCTGCAGGCCAAGGGTATGGCCTAGACGTGAAACACCTGGCTCAGGGCACGGTATGGAACAGGTATGCATGTGATGCGACACGTGTGGCAGGCTGGCTCTCGGTCCTTGGTCTCCCTCACATCCCCCCACTCATTCAGGAACATCGTCCCCCATTCCCTAGGATACTTAACATGAATTGAGTCCATTCTTCACACATCTCCTGTGGAGCCCCTTTTACCAACCCCGGCACTTCCAGGAGCTCGGGGGACCGTGGCTCTTCCCTTCCCACTCCCTGGAGAAATGAAAGGCTGTGCTCCCTGCAAACGGTTGGTCTCGGGGTCCTGTTAGGACCTGGGCTGGGCACCACAGCGAAGGGGTGCCGATCCTTCTCTAGCTCAGTTAGTCCTTGGACATGACCTGGTTAGGACTCCCAGGGGGTCCCCCAAATGATCTTAGGCGTCCTGTGTCACACAGGCGAAGCCCACTCCCCGACACACACACACACGTCCCCATGCCCAGGATCCTGCCCCCATCCTACCTGTGCGTGGCTGACCCAGGCTCTCCCTACAGCGTCCTATAGGCCAAACCCAGAAGCAGAATGAGGAAAAGGAGAAATAGAGTCCCGGCAAACCACAGGGCGGTCAGAGCCCTGGGTCTTATTTTAGCTCACCACTCACTCACGCGGAGGTATCAGTCCGCAATCATGCATTTGTATGGCGAGAAAGAAACTGCGTTTGCTATTATGGAATTTAATTTCAGCTCCTAAACTCACAATCTTTGTGATGTGAGGACAAATTACCCGGTCACTTCCAGGCAAGCTCAGTCCAATTCCATGGCTCCCGATTTAACACAGTCTTGTTTGGATTTTCTGCCCTCCTTCCCACCTCTGTATTTATGAAAAGTCTGGCATAAGTGGGCCTGGGGCAGGGAGTGGTTTATGCCAGCGTTACTGTCAAGGCACTGAGGAGTGCCCTGTTATTTCGGTCTTGCTTTGTCCTGGTCCTGTGTTGGCCTCGTGCTCCAGAAGGAAACAGCACCGAGATGAGTGGCCTTTGTCCCTGCTCGCCCCGAGAGGTCTGTGGTCCACTCTGCTCTCTCCGTGCCACTGTTTCCGGGTTCCTTTGGGTAGGACTGCGGGGCCCCCTCAGCCCTTCCTGGCCCTTCTTCGGGTGGAGTGAGTCTGGCGCATCTGCATCTTTCTGAGGCCTTCGGGAGATCCTGCGCAGCAGAGCCTCATTGTCCCCTAAGGCCCCTGTAGCCTGTGTGCCCCACTGGCGGCTGCAGTGAGCCGGCGGGGCTGCTGATCACCAGAGGTCTATTCAGGACAAGCAAGGGACAGGCCCCCTCGGCTCTGTCATCTCCAAACCTTTCCCAGTGTCTCCATCATTGTCCATCTCCTCTCCCCGACGGCAACCCCGGGCTAAGCCCCATGGTGGTGGGCGGGCACCCAGATGCACCCACAGCTAAGCCCTTCTTCTCCCTGGTTCCAGGCCCACTAGCAAGCAGAGAGGTGGGGGGGGAGCCGATGTGGGGACAGCGTCGGGGCGAGCCTGCTTCTGCCGGGTTACGGCTCTGTCTTAGGGGCTTCCTTCTGATACGTCTCTCCTTTGGAACACCGTTGTCAAGCTATCTGTGGGTTTTGTTTTCTTATTTCTCACTAACTCACTTCCCCCACAGTAAGGGATAATTTGTGTTTGTTTATCTGGGCTGCAGCGGGGTTAAGGGAGGCCCTCTGACCACCAGGACAGACACTTAGAGAGTGTGGCTTGTGAGGAGGGAGGGAAGCACCTCCGTGAAACCGCTGTGCCTCATGCCGCCTCGGGGTCCCAGAACCCCTTTCCCACTCCCTTATTCTGTGACAGCCAGATGCTGGCCTAGATCGGATCCCGGTGTGTGTTCCCAGGACTCCCCAGAACTTAGCCGACTGTGTCAGAAATACACATTCACACATGAAAAGCAAGCTAACCTACTGATCCCGCTCAGGGAAGGGGAGGAGAAGTCAGTCCCAGGGGAGAGCCAGCAACTCAAAGCCCTGTGTCCTATTTTGGTCCCAGCCACACTCTAGTGGCGTGATTGGGGTCACCCAGCTTCCCCTCTCTCACTGTGGTTTCCCCAACTGGAACCCAGCAGCCCTGAAACGGAGCCCCTGCATCCCAGTCCCGGGGAGAGGGACCAGCCAAGCAGATCCAACTGCCCAGCACGGCAATAACAGTGGTAACAGCGCTAATTACACCTTCCAAAGCCTAACATCACTTCTTAAAAGCTCCCCCACCCTTTTAAAAAAGTAATATGAAAAGAATATAAGAAGAACAGCCTCTCATTTGACTTTCCCGAGGCTGGGACTGGGCGTGAGTCAGCGTGGGGAGGTGCAGGGCACGGGTCTTGGGTCAGAACACATGTGTCCTGATTCTGCTCTGCCTCTAACTTGCCGAGTGACCTTTGCCAAGTCACTTCCTCCTTTAAGGCTGCAGCGGTTTCATCTGTTAAATGGAAGGGCTGGGCCAAATGGTTTCCAAAGTTTAGTTCCTAGTTCTAGGATTCTGTTTTGATCGAGCACTGCATTTGATCCCTGTGGCTGCTGAAACGAATTACTATAACCTCAGTGGCTTCAAACAATAGAATTATTTTCCCTCTCAGTTCTGGAGGTCAAACGTCTGAGGTTACTCTGTGGATGAGCCTGTGCCCCCTCCTCTGGAAGCTCCAGCAGAGGATCTCCGTGCCTCTCCTAGTTCCCGGTTGCTGCTGGCGTTCCTTGGCATTCTTTGGCTTGTCTCAGTGGCTGCGTCACTCAGGCCCTGCCCTGGGCACATACTGCCTTCTGTGTGTGTCTCGAATATTTCTCTTATAAGGACCCTTGTGATGGGGTTTCGGGTCCCCGTGGATAGTCCAGGATGACCCCCTTACCTCCAGATCCTAAACCGAATCATATCTGCAAAGATACTTTTCCCAAATAAAGTAACATTTACGGGGATCAGGAGGTGGACATGTCTTGGCTGGGGGTGTGGGGGAGAGCATTTTTCAGCCTACCACCAGCATCTACTGTGCCTATGACCAGTCTGAGGTCCAGGGAGATTTTAAACAAGTAGGAATGCGCATCCCTGTTCCCCAAGGACATGTGGCCTAACTCAGGAGTCGTCACCCTCACCCCCCTGCCAAGGAGCAACACCAGCCAGGTGGTAGCCTGCATGATGAGGCAGGGTGCCCTCGTGGAAAATCTCATAGGCTCCAGTCTCAGAATGTCCTGGATTCATCTCCAAGCCCTGCTACCTGCAAGCTGGGGGACCCTTAACAAGTTTTTTAATGTATCTGGACCTTAGTTTTCTCATTATAAAACAGGGCTAATTACAATTACCCCACAAGTAGGTTATAAAGATCAAGCACAGTATGTGCAATGGCTGGCATCTAAAAGGGGCTTATGATCCAGCTTCAGATGATGGGACAACACAGGTGTTCAGAACAAAGAGTGATTCCTCACTGATCAATAAGGAACCAAGGTCAGAGAAGTGGGACAACTGGCCCAATTTTTTTCAGGGAGATAATGGCATGGGGGGGTCAAGAATTAAGGTCTCCTGGAATTGAGCATTTTCCTTCACTTCCCAAAGCCTTCGCTCTTGGGATGAATCCTTTGAATTGCGTTTCCACGGGCAGCAAAGGGCCTGCCATTTTCACCTCCTATTGATCTAGGGAAGGTCGGAGTGGGCCAAGTACACAGGTCTCTGCAGGTCCCAGCCCTCAGACTGGCATCATGAGCCTGGGTGGACCCAGCCACCAGTAGAGAAGGGGAGGCCCGAGCCATACAGTCCTTCCCCAGCACCCCTCACTGAGGATAGTCTTAGGAATGCCAGACAAGGAGGTAAAAGTGGACACATGAAATGCCTGTCCCTGATGTTTACTGCCAGCTCTCGGCTCCCCAGCTCAGGTCTTCTGCCGAGTCAATGTTTAACCCCTTTTTTGAGTCAATGTTTAATCACAGGGCAGTCAGCCATGAAATCCGCATTCCTCAGTAAACTAATAATGTAGACTCATTTTAGTATCAATCAGTGGAAAAATAGAATTGTGACAGTGAATCTACCTAAGCTAAATAACAAGCCCCTCCACTCCCTTCTAAGGACATTGACTGGGATTATCCATACCCAAGTAACTCTGCCCTCACCATTAGCAGATAATAATCTGCTCTCTCCTGATTTTAGCTGTCATCCATTGGCAGGAACACAGCATTTACTCTCCCTGTTCCAATCTTGCCTTTTGGGCTGGGGACAGCCCGTGGCCATGAGATGGGGATGGCTGCCTTTGTTGCCCCGCTGTGAGCTGCTGGCAGGCAACGTGCTCCACAGGGCAGTGCCTGCTGGGGACCGCACTGAGGGAGTGGGGACTGGGGCAGTCCAGCTGGCTGAACTCTGGCAAGTTTTTTGGGAGTTTCTAAGCCCAGACTTATATTTGGAGGCCTTTTCCCAGGTGAGTCTCCCGTGTTCGGGAGTAGAAGGAAGAAAGTGAATTATACACCCTCCATATCTGCCTGGCTATTGGCTGATGTCAGAGGGGCTCTTCAGGGCCCTTCGGGAGCTTGGGGCATAGCATTGATGACCTGGCAGCATAGTGTCAATGCCAAGGGGAGCCTGAATGAGGGGGAAGTCAGGGTGGCCCAGCAAGTGGCCGACACATGGGGGGCGTGAGAGGTCTGTGATCAGATGAGTGGTTCTAGTCCCCGGATGTTGCCAGAGAGGCTGACTTACCAGGCAGAAGAGCACACGGGAGCCTCAGATATTTTCTCTTTGCTATAGGAGCTCACTGAGCCACCTCCTTCTCCCTGACTACCTGCCTCTCCATGTCATTGACCAGATGATATCCAATCCCTTGGCTGTTTTCCTAGCTCTGTTGACTCCCAATCAGAGTGCAAATTTCTTCTGGGGTTCTGGGGTCGGAGTTGTCTGTACTCCTTATCATTTTGGCTAGTGGAGGAGTGCTTGGCAGCAACTGTGATGTGAGCCCCCAAGACCAGTGGGGTCCCAGTCTGAGGAGCCATTGTGGAGGATAAGTGATGGAGAAAGAACATGATAGAACCCAGAGGTGCAAAGTTGGCTTTCCAAGGGCCCTCTCAGTTCCCCCCGGGCTGGGCCTGGGGCCCCAGGGACTTTTATTCTCTGGTTCTGAGAGGCAGGAACAAATGAAAAAACATTTTGAGGTTACCAAACCACTCTCTTGCCCTCTCTTACCTCCATACCCTGGCCAGGGAGGGGCGGAAGGAGGAAGATTTTTGGAGTAGACATCCAAAGTCAACAGGTGGAGTGTCAGGTGACAGGGCCCAGCCTCTCTCATAAGCCATCAGGGTCCCTCCGGGGGACTTGCAGTTTCCTTGTTCCTGCTCTGAGCCTGGCCTTCAGCCCAGGGTTTGCCTGGCAGGCAGCCACTGGAAAAATATCCCCTGCAGCCTGTGCCCATCTGAGCCTCAACATTCCCATCTGTATAATGGTGTACAGTCTGGTGCTGTATGCTGTAATTCAATTGAGTTCACTACACTGCACTGTAAAGAAGAGTGCTGGTAAAATGAAGAGTTTGGACCAGTTGCATCTGCTAGCCAGTCTGCCCTCCCCATGACGGCTTTAAAGAAGAAAACTCCCCAGTGCCCTTTTCCCAAACTCTTGCCTGAAGTGTGACATCCTCAGATGAACTGCAGGGCAACTTGGACAATGCCTTTGGTCATGGCGGTGCCAGCTGTCTTCCTCCCACCTGAGATTCTCAGGGTTAGGGAGCCAGGAATCTGTGACATTAGGGCAAGTAGTGACTCTTCCGTGACCCTGCACACTGGGAGCGGAACGAGTAGCTCTGGATCCAGGCAGCAGATAAGTAAGGGGTAGGAACTGGCCAGAGGTGAGAAGAGGCTGAACACAGAACACTCTAGATGCTAATCAGGGAATGTGCGTCTCCAATAAAGTGGGACCAGGAGGCCAACGGTGGCCCAGTGCTTCCATGCTCGTGATCTCTGCGTGCCTCCAGAGGTGCAGCACAGGATCCTCGGCTGTAGCTGGCACCTCTGCTACCCACCTGGGTTTCAGTCACTCCCTCCTGGAGAGCAGGCCGTGGGTGACAGCGCATTCTCTTGCTGACAGTGAAGGGAGCAGATTGGCCTGGAGGGCCAGTGCCTTTAAGCCAGCATCACTTAATAAAACATGGAGAGCTTGATGGTGCTGGACCCTCATGGCCACCCACAGAAGGTCCGTTTCCTTTTGCATAGAAACTCCACTCTCTATTCAACGTTTGTCAAGCTCTTAGCCCTGGAATGTCTGGACCAATAGAAAAAAAATCACATAATCTGCGTGTGCTTGGCTCAAGTGTGTTAGAGGTCTTTCCGTGGCAAGAGCTTCCTCTTAGTGTCTAACTGAAGCTGTTATCAAATGGATTCTGTGTTTCCCAGACCACACTGGCTACTGGAGAAGAGGGAGACACCCCCAAAGACTTAGTGGAGAACAACGAGAAGCTGCTTGGGGGGTCAGACATTTGCCCTGAGTTCCCTGAGATAGATGGACACCCTCACAGGCAATGACGATCTGAGCTCTATTTGCACAGATGCCAGTGGGGACCTCAGGGTCAGTGACTGAATTCTTAGCTTTCAGTTCCCTGACTTTTACACTTCACTTAGCCGGGACAGGAACAAGCCGGTGAGGTGACTGAATAAAACAAGTTCCTGGAAATGATTATGAAAGAAAAAGGAAAACAAGGAAGGTTTAGAACCTTAAAGAGGAAAGGACCTCATCAGATACCCAGGCCCTAAATCCAGGAACAGAGGAAGGCAGGGCAGTGCACCGTTCAAGGATTTAAGCTGTGTCTGCAGACCACTCTGCATTCAGGTCCCAGCTTGCCTTTTCCTTAGTTTACCTTCTTAATTTCTGTGCCTTCAGTTTTCTCGTCTGTAAAATGGGCACCATCCCACCTGCCTTACAGAAAGATTGCATCAAATGTGATGAGCAATGTGAACACACTAGGGCAGGGCCTGCTGCGTAGACACCTGACCTGTGGTGGTAGCACCAAGTACACGTGTGAGAAAAGGAGACTTGTGCCCTTGCCCCAGGAACCTGCTGGACCGTAGGAAAGTCAGCGCTGCCCTGCGTCTTGGATTAGACATCTCCAGGGACACTTCCCTGATTCCAGCCTGGGGATGGACGTCCCCCGCCCCTCGTCCCGGTGATGTGCCTATCATGCCAGCTGGGGATATAAGAAGAAAGCCAAATTGCTGGTAATACCAAGTGGCAGTGTCGGCCTGCTTGGCCTCTGGCCCTTTGAGCCGAGGTCTCCTGCCCTGCCCCAGGCCTTGGTCAGCCCGCCGGAGAGACCCTGGGGGCCGCCCATTTCCTTCCTCCTGAGGATTTCATCCAGATCTCGTCTCTAATGATCACCATGCTCGGCTCCAGACTCCTGGCCCTGAGACTCTGACTGTGGCTCCACTCTGCCCCTTTGAACTTGTACTGGCCCTTCCTGCTGGTGGGCCTCAGCTTTCCCTAAAGCACCCTGACTTAGCAGCTTTTCCTGCTTCTGGAAGCAGCCCCCGACTCCAGCCATATGGCTAACCCTTGCCAGCCTGGGCCCCTCCTTGCCCTGAGTCAGGCAGAACTCCTTCTAACTTTTGAATCCAAGCCAGAAAATATTACCAGAGTCTGGAGAATGGAAGGGTCCTTGAGAAGGGTGGTCAGGGAAACTTTTGGGGAGGATGAGGTTGGATCCTTCACATCAGAGTGGGGACAGGAGATCCTTGTAATAGTTTTATGGTTTCGTGCAGGCATTGGCACATTATGGCTGTAGGGCTGGATGCAGCCTGCTGCCTGCTTCTGTAAATAAAGTTTTATTGGAACACAGCCAAAGCCATTCATTTATGTATTATCTCTGACTGCTTCTGTACTACAATAATCAGAGCTCAGCAGAGGACGGCACAGTCTAAAATATTTACTCTATGGCCCGCAACAAAGAGTTGCAGGCCCCTGGTTTAATGCATCAAGCTTCCTCAAATAAGGAGTGATTGGAGAAATCCAGTCCTGGGAGATCGCTTCACCAAAAATCAAGTCAGAAAAGCTGGGGACATAATGTCTGTCCCCACACACCACTGTGGGCTATTCACAGTGTACCTTAATGTATTAAAGGTTCCAGAAAATTTCACACACAAGAACCTGTTTGCTGTTTAACCCACATTTCTCAGACTCCTTTGATCTACTAAACCTTCCTTTTCCCAATCCTTTTAACAACCTTGAGAAGCTAGTGTTTAGTGGACGCCCCTGGTAAATACTAGTTAAACGGCCCGATCTTATACAGACTGGGTTCTCTGCCCATCCCTGCTCTTTAATGAGCTGAGTGACCTTGGCTGAATTATATCCCCCTCAGGACCTGCTTCCTCAGTGGCTGAATGGAGTAATGGTAGCTGTCCTATCTTTCTAGCTCTCCCAGGGTTTTCAGGCACATCACTGAGATACTGTGCATGAAAATGGCCTGGAACAAGAAAACTCCGATGTCATTGATTTTTTTTCTCGAGTTTTGCTTAGATCCATTTTTCAGTGCTTGTGAAATGGAGAAAGCACTAGATCAAGTCATGAGTTCCCTTTTCTCATCCTCACTCTGGTATTATTGACTAGGTTTCAACAAGTTACTTCCTCCAAGGGTCCTCAGGTACCTCACCCTACACGGAAGGTTTAGGACTGGTTTATCTGTAAGGATCTATTAGCTCTGAAATTTCATGATGCCATCTGGTTAGATGTGTGCCTACTTTTCCAAAATAATGGGTCCCTGTCGTAACTGTGAAGAATGCTTCTCCTTGATTTTTTTGGGAGTGTCAGGGTTCAGCACCAGCCCTGAGGTGGTATCAACGAAGGGGTAACGGTGCTGCCGACAGCTTAGGAGACAGGGCCGAGCCTTCTGGGAATGTCTGTCCTTCAATTCTCAGCTGGATGTTGGAGCCTTCCCTTCCTTTCTCTTCCATCACTCAAAGACTGTTCTACCCGGACACGAAGCTCAGACAGCTGGTTAACAGATTTGGCAAAATAAAAGAGCAGATGCGACTCCTGAAGGGACAGTAGGACCATGGGTGGAGCAAAAGTCCCCCAACAGGCATGAAATGAAGTGGTTCTGAAGCAGAATCCACATAAAATTCCTCCTGGCTGTCTTCTCTCTGACTCCCACCCCCAACCCGTTTGCAGCCGCACCAGCCGTCGGTGACATCAAAGATGTATAAACAGTCGAACAAGAGGAACTTTATGAAGAAGGCGAGACTCTACTGAAAAATACCCCCCTCTTCCATGAATTTAGGAAAATCCCAGAAAGTCTTGACTGGGTCAAAAGGTCTACAGCATAATGAGTATGGGGACAAATGGAAAGTGATGGTTTGAGGATTGGGTGGTGTCCCTCGTGGTCTCTGTGTAGAAGCCACCTGCCTATGGAGTCATCCAGGGGACGCCCAGATGAAGGGGAGTCAGAGCACCTGCTTGCCCTCCAGGGGCCTGCGTGCATGGCAGCCGTTCAGTCACATTGAGTTGGGAGCCCTATTGAGCTGGTAGTTCTCTGGGGCATAGTGAGATGGATAAAGCACAATTAATGCCCTAAAGGAGCTTAGCATCTACTTGAGAAGGCAAGCCCAGTATTCATGAATGTAATTAACTGTGGGCAATCGGCTGAGTGCATCAGAAAGTGGGCATCTAGCAAGGACGAGGAGTGATGGTGAGAATTCATAATTTCCACCCAGATAGGAAGCCCCTTATATTTTCAAACCTCCAGGAATGGAAATTCCACACATTTCCTGGGTGACCTCCACCAGTGTTTAATAATCCTTTTTTGAACCTTCTCTGAGTCACTGTCACCTTTGGCAAGTGTCTGACCTTCCTAGGCTCCAGGGTGGTCAGCGTTTACTTCCCCAGATGAAGCCCCAGCTCGGTCAGCTTCCCTCTGTACAGTAGGACCATGGGTGGAGCAAAAGTCCCCCCAACAGGCCTCTGTACAGGTTGAGACAGAATGACAAGTGGCTGGAGTCACAGTGTTTGGTCCTGGTTCTCCTTCCATGGTGTCTGAGCAGCTGATCCTTCCATCTTCAAGGTCCAGGGTCCTTCTCCGGGACAGACAGGCTGGCATGCCAGGAGGTGTGTCATCTGAAGCAAGGTGACTCCTGCCGCCCTTCCTGCCTCCTGAGCTGCACAGATACAGGGCAGGCTGTGAGGGTCCTAGGCACTGAATTTGATTCCTGAGAATGCCTCTCCCCCCAGCCCCACCATCACCACCACCAACGCCACCACGAGGCTTCAAGAACCCCTCATACAGAATTGCATTTGAACCCTTAGACTGACAGGGATTGGGCCAGGTGTTGGGGGCCCTGGGGCCGAGACTCTTAGCCTCCTCCATTTGCTGCCAGGAAACCTCACCCTTTCTGTGCCAGATCTAAACACCATGGAACACTCAACTGAGAAGTGTTTAAACCTGGGCACATTGCTGTAAGAGACTTTCAGCTGGGCCCTGCGTTGGGTACCAATGCAGGTGTGGCCCTGCACACCTGCTATCTGGTGCTCATGTGGTCCATGGTTAGCATATGTCTTGCCATCTTCCAAGAGCTTCTTAAGCTCTGGGATGCCACTAACACACAAGTGCAGAGATGATTTGCCCTTTTGCTTGATGAGGAAGCCAAGGGTGGTTAATTGGCTCAGACTAGAATTTAGCATTTCTACATCCGGAAGTTCTGGCACCAACTCTGACCCGACCCCGTCCTAAGGATGTCTCATGGACCGAGCACCCCCTTCCCCAGCCTTGGGGCAACTGAAACTCAACTCACACATCTGCTTTCTCCGGAGCTTCCTCTGCAGTAGAGCAAGAGCCACAAACATAAGGGGGAGCAGCATGGTAGAGACCGGAGTCAGGACCCGAGAAATGTTTTTCTCTTCTGGAGAAGCACTGGAGTAGAAGTAGCGGGAGCGGTGGAGGGAAGAGCACAGGAGAGGGGCATTGGAGCCGCACAGGAGGCTGAGGACCATTTGGCCCTTGCCCCTCCTTTCACAGGCTAGAAGCTGTGCCTTCATCCCTGGGGCAGGTTAACAGCAGATCCGGGACCAGAACCCCTGAATCCTGTCCCTATTCTGCCACCTGCGTGGGGGCCCACCAATGCCCCATTCCAGCATGGAGAGCTGAGTGAGCGTCGGGGAGCCCATGCTTGGCCCTGGGCGCTGCCGTGATCTCCTGTGGCTTCAGCAGGTCCCCTCCCCTCTTGGGACCTTCTGTTCCTCATCTTTAAAAAAAGTCCCGAAGGTTCCACCTGAGTATTCTGTGATTCTACTGTTTAGATATTTGCTTGAAAACCACATGAAAATACTCTGCACTCTCCTAGCAGGGAGCCTTGAATGAGGGCAGGTGTCTGGCTTTTATGTCCCTTGCCCTTTACTGACTTGTGGTTACAAAGGGAGAGAAGTGAGCAGTTGGAGGAGGCTCCGGAAGTCAGGAACGGGGCAGTGTGGAGCCCCAACCCAGAGAAGGGCCTGGGGGTTTACCTTTTCATGGAGGACCCCTTCCCCAGGGGCCTCTGGGGCCCTGATGCCGGGGCCTGGCTTGGCGTGGCTTGGGGACCACTGTCTCCGTCAGCCGTGTCTAAGTCTCTGTCAACGCTTTCCTCTGCAGCTGCCGTCTCCAAGCCGCTGGGCCCCAAGGTCCACACGCCTGCCGATGGCATAGTTCCTGCAGTGGAGCATAGGACTCGTGCCTTAGAAACTGATGTTGCTTCTCAGAGGGTTTCCTGCAACCATTTTTCTGAGACCAGGGCTGATGGCCTAATGGTCCCCATGACCTTCCTGGCTGCATCCAGGGCTATTCTGATGCTCTCTGTTTCCTCTCCTGGCCTATCGGCTTCGGGAGTTATCTGCCTCCCTCGCTAACCCCAGCCCTACCCGCTGCTGAGCTTCTGGAGCCCCGCACCCAGACACCCTCTGTCATATCGGACACACCTCCGGTGGCTGCAGCCGGACTCCTTGGAATGGAGACGGTTGCCCAGAGGGAAGCTTCTACCCAGCTGTCTGTCCCTGGTGCTCCTGCCCCTGCTGTTCCTGGGGTTGGCCTTCCCTTAGCTGAAGCTGTAGTTTTGCTGGTTCCTGGAGTCACAGCAGCCCTCTCCCATCCTGTCCCCTGTCTTTCTGCAGTCTGTGTGGTTCCTGGGGTCCCTCTGTTGGCCGCTGGTGTTGCTGTTCCACAGGATCCCGTGAGGAGTTCGCCAGCAGCGGTGGGGAGGGTGCCGGGAGAACCTGCATGAAAGCAGAGGAGACCACCTGGGAAGGCTCTCCAGGCTGCCTGCAGGACTCAGCAAAAGACACCTGGCTTAAAGTGTTTGCTACACGGAATGCAACCTCGCTAGTGATGCGCTCTTCGGCCAATATGTGGGATAAAATAAAAATTTGGGCAAACCAGATGTATCCTCCGGTCTGTTGTATATACTCACACTCTATGTTCTTATCTCCTTCTCTGCCCACATATTCCCTATCCAGCTGTCCGGGACCTCCACGCTGCCCCTGCCCAGAGGCCCACAGCCCACCATGTGGTGCTCCTCAGATAAAGGAAGCAGGCCTCCAGCTGCCGCAGAGAAGCCGATCCTGGCAGGTTGAGGTAGCGACACCTAATGAAACGAGTCCCCTCCCAGCACTGAGCCTGCCTGCTCCCTAACATGCCTTCTCCCCTGTAGACTGGCTTTTCACAGCCTGGATGCCCTCAGTCTCTGGGCACCTGACTCTGGATCGGTTCGCCAGAACTTGGCACACAGGGCATGGACCTGGTAGCTGTCAGTGGTCTGCTGCGGGCCTGGGTCTCAGGCAGAGCCCCTCCTAATGCTTCTGTCCTGCCTGTCTGATCTGCTCTGTGCATCTGAGCAAAGAGACATCATGACCGTAAGAAGCCACATTAGCCAATTCACTCCCATCTTGGAATTCTGTCCAAATACATATGTCACAGGTGGCAGGGGGAATTGTGTGAAACAGCTTATATACTTACAGTTTACCCTAACATCTACCTTCCTTTTGAAGGCAGCGTCCCTCTGAAATGAAAGGACTTCTCCAAGTCCTTGCCTTCACGCCAGCTTTACACGTCACTTCTTGTACCTTCTGCTTCCTAGCATTCTCCTCGCCAACTTGACCCACCAGCCCACAGCCCATACCTGTAGAGATGGTCAGGTTCATGCTGAAGAACAGTATGTCGTTTTGGTTTCCGACGCCACAGCGGTAGTACCCCACATCGTCTGAGGACAACTGGGACAACCTCACCACAAATAAGCCACTGTGTCGGAAGTCTGTGAGAGCCACGCGGCCGTGGTACTGACGGTGAGTGTAGCTGTTGGTGGACACGATGGTGTGGCAGATCCACGTCAGGGGGTTTAGGCGGCACCAGTACTTCCTCTGGTGCCTGTAGATGGACAAGGGGGCATAACGACACTGGATGGTGACAGCTCCCCCTGGCTCCCCAGTCACCAGCCTCGGGCCCTTCAATGCATTTGTGGCTGCAGGCAGAGAAAAAAAGAAATCAAAGGAATGAGAGTGCTGGGGACAGTGACTGGGGAGTCACAACCTCCAAACTCTGCCAGAATTAGGGGACGGGTCAGAAAATGCCTCCACGAAAGTGAAGTTAAGACTCAGTATAGAAATCCCAGAGCTGAGCCACTTGGTGGGAAGTAGCCCCAGAATACAGAATGGGGCTGTATCCAAAGCCCCATGCAAGAGACAGAAATGCAAGAATTCTCTTTCCCACTGGTTAGCTGACGCTTCTCATGTGCCGGGTGTGCTCATGCAAGTCTGCCCAGAGTGGGTGTTCCTTCCACTGACTTTAATGCAGATATTTAAAAAGCTTCCACCTAAGCGCCTGTAAAAGGACTAAAACAGCATCTGACAGGACTTCAGTTTGTTTGCATGGAATGTAAGAGAGAGATGTCGAAAAGTTAGAACAGATCAGCGTGGTTTCTGCTGCAGGGAGAGGGCATCCTGACACACAAAGGGTGCTGGTCTGCCAGACGGGTGCCTCCCCAGGCCTGGGGTTACAAAAATGGTTACAATGACCACTTTTCTATAGAACCAGAAGCAGCCAAGCACCACCATCAAAGCACAGCTGAGCAGTATTGTGAATCTGTCTACTGTGGCAATAGGCATGAATCATAGTTGAGCCACAGTGCATGGCCCGTTTTCGGAATGACTTAAATTTGATGGGGGGCGAGCAGGGACAAAGTTTATTGTTCTTTCTGTCACTGCTTCTTCACACTCGCTCTGAGGACTTCCCTGCTCCTTGAAATCTCAGGTAGGGGCTTTCATAGTCTCACTCAGATAAGAAAAAGTCCAGTGTGGTCTAAAACTATATTCCCGGGACAAGTAGTGACCAGTTGCAGCTCCAGTCTCTTACCCAGTTGCAGGCTTTTCCTTTCTCCCAGCCAGGCTTTGAGGCCTATTGTGGAGGAAGGGGATGTGTTAGGATCTCTTGCTTTGCTCTCCACTCCTTCCTTTACTCACAGTCACTGTTGTAGGCTCTGGGTTTGGGATGGGGTTGGGGAAAGGACAGCTGAGTGGGACAGTTACGATCTGATCCTAGAGCTGTCTGGGCATGGTGCTGGCCAGAGCGGCTTCCTTCCCTTCTGTCTCCCGGCTCTCCTTTCCATGGCCCGTGGGTGCAGCGCCCTCTGTGCAAGAATTGCCTCTCCTCCTGCTGGCCTAGTATGACTCTTACCACCACCAAGCCTGGACTTTGGCCATCTACCCCTCTTTTTGTGGTCACAGTCCTGGGGGGCCCCTCTTGGTGGAGGCCTCAGGCCAGCTCCTTTCTGTAGGCCCCACACTAGGTCCCAGGAAGCACACCTTTGTCCTGCTACCTGGGGCATACAGCGTGCTTGCTGAGTAGCTTTCTAGAAGTTTTTTCTCTTACTTGGCTTAAAGTAGGGGGAAGGGATCCCTTCCATGCCTCCGAGGCAGGTGGAGGAGAGCATCATACACTGATGTCTCTCCCAAAACCGCTCTTACGGTGAGCTTTCCTACCCTCTGATGATTGACACACGGCTTCACGGTGGACCATTGCTGGAACACCCAGCTTTGAAATCAGTCTCCATTGTCCTGTACAAAATGGTTCAACATTTCGCTTTAGGATGTGGATGCCTGGCACCCACCAATTTATTATATGTCTTCAGGGCCTCTGAAACCAGGTTAATATCCAGTTAGCAGGACTGCCTACCTAATTTGCAGGGCCCAGTGCAAAAGGAAAATGCAGGACCCTTTGTTCAAAGGTTATTAAAGATTTCACTCTGGCAATAGCAGATCAAGAAACTGAGCGCCTTCTGAGTACAGGGCCCCATGACGTAACTGCACATGGGCCGCACACCCATGAAGCTGGCTCTGCTTGTTAACATGTGTCTTGAGGTTTAATTATAAGAAGCATCAAAGCCACCAACACTGTGGACATATCGATGCTTACTGTAGGGTGAGCTAAATGACTTAGTACCAACTACACCTCTGTGGGTCAAGTTAAATGGCAATTTCTCATTAAAGCCAAGAGCATTCACAGTTACAAACATGGACCATCTCAGGACAGCAGTGGTGCAGTGTTTATACCCCAGATTCTAGGAATTCTAGTGATCTATGTGTGGCACATGCAACAGGAGCTTTTCCCCATTAATCAGCAGGATGGGGTGGTCCGACTTCACAGGGCAAAGCTGCTTGAGGATCCTAAATCAGCTCTTGCAATGCACATTTTAAAATTTTATTGGTACCAAATTTTGCTTACCCTTAAGAACTCATTTGGTGGATTACAGATGAGTAGCTCTTAATTACATATAATTTAGATCTTGGGAATTTTTTTATTAGTCACCGTGAGACTTATAGAAGGGGCTAGCATTTTAGGATCTAGGTGGTGCCCACTTGGTCCCTGGTGGAGATTCTCTGCCCTCCAATAGAGGCAGGGAGTGCCCATCACTTCCCTGCAATTGTCTGTTGCTGCGGCTTCTATCAGGGAGGGCGAGTGAGACCATGGGCTGAGAGCAGGAGAGGTCTGCGGCAGGACAGAGGGGGAGTAAGGCTTGAACCTGCGATGCAACCCCCGCCGCAGCACCACCACCAGCAGTGGGGTGAGAAAGGTGGGAGTAGTTCCCTTGGTCCCGAGGTGGGGTCTGGAGGGGAGAGAGCCAGGCTGCAGCCATCTGAGGTGGGGTGTTTGGTGTGCAGGGGCCAAAGGGAGAAGATGGGCCATCAGGGGCCATCTCAGGGACCCTTCAGAAGCACCCGGAAGAGGAAGAGCTGCCTTAAACCCCAGCCTGGCCTGAGAGCTCCATGCATCCCATCAAGAGCTGCCTCCTGCCTGTCCTTCCTGCCTCTGTGACCCTGCTGGGGTCCTAAGTCCAGCTGCCCACCCGGGGGGGAGTAAGAGTAGGTGAAGGAGAAGGTACCACCACACCCCCTACCTGCCCTCCTGACTGCCGCCCTCAGGTAGATAAGGGGGCATGTCTTTGAATGACAAAGTGCTGCTCAAAATACATAACTGGACACTTAAAAAGATCGAATTTAGAACATTTGAGACTTAAAGGAATAAACTTAGGATTATTACCTACATATTAGCAGAAAAACCATGGGCCAGCCTGAGTTTTCCTTTAGGGGTAGGAGAAGCCTCCTCTTACGGAAAAATTTTAAAGGGAGCAGTATGAGATTCAACTAAAAAGGTGGTGTGATTATATCATGAGCGTTCTGAAACATTGGCTGCCTTTGATTCAACAAAATTCTGATGTGTTTATAAGTCAAACACAGTTGTGAATTTTTGTTACTATTTTCATTCATTTATTCATTTGTTCATTCAACAATTTTGCATGGCCCGTTTTCGGAATGACTTAAATTTGATGGGGGGCGAGCAGGGACAAAGTTTATTGTTCTTTCTGTCACTGCTTCTTCACACTCGCTCTGAGGACTTCCCTGCTCCTTGAAATCTCAGGTAGGGGCTTTCATAGTCTCACTCAGATAAGAAAAAGTCCAGTGTGGTCTAAAACTATATTCCCGGGACAAGTAGTGACCAGTTGCAGCTCCAGTCTCTTACCCAGTTGCAGGCTTTTCCTTTCTCCCAGCCAGGCTTTGAGGCCTATTGTGGAGGAAGGGGATGTGTTAGGATCTCTTGCTTTGCTCTCCACTCCTTCCTTTACTCACAGTCACTGTTGTAGGCTCTGGGTTTGGGATGGGGTTGGGGAAAGGACAGCTGAGTGGGACAGTTACGATCTGATCCTAGAGCTGTCTGGGCATGGTGCTGGCCAGAGCGGCTTCCTTCCCTTCTGTCTCCCGGCTCTCCTTTCCATGGCCCGTGGGTGCAGCGCCCTCTGTGCAAGAATTGCCTCTCCTCCTGCTGGCCTAGTATGACTCTTACCACCACCAAGCCTGGACTTTGGCCATCTACCCCTCTTTTTGTGGTCACAGTCCTGGGGGGCCCCTCTTGGTGGAGGCCTCAGGCCAGCTCCTTTCTGTAGGCCCCACACTAGGTCCCAGGAAGCACACCTTTGTCCTGCTACCTGGGGCATACAGCGTGCTTGCTGAGTAGCTTTCTAGAAGTTTTTTCTCTTACTTGGCTTAAAGTAGGGGGAAGGGATCCCTTCCATGCCTCCGAGGCAGGTGGAGGAGAGCATCATACACTGATGTCTCTCCCAAAACCGCTCTTACGGTGAGCTTTCCTACCCTCTGATGATTGACACACGGCTTCACGGTGGACCATTGCTGGAACACCCAGCTTTGAAATCAGTCTCCATTGTCCTGTACAAAATGGTTCAACATTTTGCTTTAGGATGTGGATGCCTGGCATCCACCAATTTATTATATGTCTTCAGGGCCTCTGAAACCAGGTTAATATCCAGTTAGCAGGACTGCCTACCTAATTTGCAGGGCCCAGTGCAAAAGGAAAATGCAGGACCCTTTGTTCAAAGGTTATTAAAGATTTCACTCTGGCAATAGCAGATCAAGAAACTGAGCGCCTTCTGAGTACAGGGCCCCATGACGTAACTGCACATGGGCCGCACACCCATGAAGCTGGCTCTGCTTGTTAACATGTGTCTTGAGGTTTAATTATAAGAAGCATAAAGGCACCAACACTGTGGACATATCGATGCTTACTGTAGGGTGAGCTAAATGACTTAGTACCAACTACACCTCTGTGGGTCAAGTTAAATGGCAATTTCTCATTAAAGCCAAGAGCATTCACAGTTACAAACATGGACCATCTCAGGACAGCAGTGGTGCAGTGTTTATACCCCAGATTCTAGGAATTCTAGTGATCTATGTGTGGCACATGCAACAGGAGCTTTTCCCCATTAATCAGCAGGATGGGGTGGTCCGACTTCACAGGGCAAAGCTGCTTGAGGATCCTAAATCAGCTCTTGCAATGCACATTTTAAAATTTTATTGGTACCAAATTTTGCTTACCCTTAAGAACTCATTTGGTGGATTACAGATGAGTAGCTCTTAATTACATATAATTTAGATCTTGGGAATTTTTTTATTAGTCACCGTGAGAATTATACAAGGGGCTAGCATTTTAGGATCTAGGTGGTGCCCACTTGGTCCCTGGTGGAGATTCTCTGCCCTCCAATAGAGGCAGGGAGTGCCCATCACTTCCCTGCAATTGTCTGTTGCTGCGGCTTCTATCAGGGAGGGCGAGTGAGACCATGGGCTGAGAGCAGGAGAGGTCTGCGGCAGGACAGAGGGGGAGTAAGGCTTGAACCTGCGATGCAACCCCCGCCGCAGCACCACCACCAGCAGTGGGGTGAGAAAGGTGGGAGTAGTTCCCTTGGTCCCGAGGTGGGGTCTGGAGGGGAGAGAGCCAGGCTGCAGCCATCTGAGATGGGGTGTTTGGTGTGCAGGGGCCAAAGGGAGAAGATGGGCCATCAGGGGCCATCTAAGGGACCCTTCAGAAGCACCCGGAAGAGAAAGAGCTGCCTTAAACCCCAGCCTGGCCTGAGAGCTCCATGCATCCCATCAAGAGCTGCCTCCTGCCTGTCCTTCCTGCCTCTGTGACCCTGCTGGGGTCCTAAGTCCAGCTGCCCACCCGGGGGGGAGTAAGAGTAGGTGAAGGAGAAGGTACCACCACACCCCCTACCTGCCCTCCTGACTGCCGCCCTCAGGTAGATAAGGGGGCATGTCTTTGAATGACAAAGTGCTGCTCAAAATACATAACTGGACACTTAAAAAGATCGAATTTAGAACATTTGAGACTTAAAGGAATAAACTTAGGATTATTACCTACATATTAGCAGAAAAACCATGGGCCAGCCTGAGTTTTCCTTTAGGGGTAGGAGAAGCCTCCTCTTACGGAAAAATTTTAAAGGGAGCAGTAAGAGATTCAACTAAAAAGGTGGTGTGATTATATCATGAGCGTTCTGAAACATTGGCTGCCTTTGATTCAACAAAATTCTGATGTGTTTATAAGTCAAACACAGTTGTGAATTTTTGTTACTATTTTCATTCATTTATTCATTTGTTCATTCAACAATTATTTGTTAAGCATCTACCTGAGACTAGGTTATAGGTACCAGACACTCTAGGCATATACCGACTACATTCCTCAATGCCTCCCCATTACCAACAAAATAAAATCCAGTCACCACAGTGTGGACACAGGACCACTGATCATCTAAGCCTGATTTATATCTGGCCAGCCTCACCACACCAGCCTGCCAGGACCTACAAGGTAGGGATCCTGCCTTTCATCCATCTGGCCCTAGTGCCTGGCACATGGTAGGCCCTCAGTAAATGTGTGTTGACTGAATAAGTAAATGCACAGATAAGGTTTTTAATTACCCATCCAGTTTCTTTGAGCCTCTAAACTCTGTAAAGTAGGGTAGGGTCTTCATCTTTATGTCCTAGTACTGGGTTTGGCACTTGAGTGTGTTTAAAATCAGTGATAGGGAAGCAATGCTACTTCTATTTGATGCCCTAAAACCTTTTTCTTGCAAATGCGGCCTATTTTCAGTCATCAATATGACTGAAAGAGAACAGAAACATAGGGAACTCAAAATACTCTCGTTAGTAAGCTAGAAATCATCAAGTCATCTGGGCTCTTGCGAGTTCAGCCCTCCTGGGCCTGGATCCGACCATTCCCTGTGTCCACTGCATGGCCTTGCATCTCAGGAGAGAAAGCCATGGGTATTCCCAGATAGCTGAGGGAGCCCTGAATGCCACTGAGGGACCCCCCAGGAATCTCGGCAGCCTGGAAGGCTCTGGTCTGGTTTGGTAAGCTCTGAATCTGGGCTGTGTTTGGGACTCACCGTGCAGCAGGCATAGTGTGAAGAGGATCTGCATTGTCCATCCTGCCCTCTGGCTGGTGACCTGCAAAAAGCACTGTAAGTGAAGAGGCCTGAGAGGAGGCGAGTGAGAAGCTGGACTGAGCAGCGGCGGGACCTGAAGCCGCCCCCTTCTCGCGTTCGGATCTCAGTTGGCTCAGTGCTGGGGTTGGATTGTCTCTGTCTAAGAGCCAGACAGGAGCTGCCCTCTCTGAGAGAAGCATGGGTCCACCCTCCCTCTCCAAACATGCACATTGCCTGGGTCTCTGCCACCAAGGCCAAAATGTCCCCTGCTCTTGAGGTGTCTGTATTCAGAAGGTGTGAAACTCCTGGAGGAGTCCAGCCCCTGCACCCACTAGCTCACACGGAGCTCTGAGCTGGCGGGAGCACAGTACAGAGTACAGACTACATGCTGGAAGTTTAAACTTGAGCTGGAACTGGGGGACCTCAGAAAGGTCACTCAGCCTTGGGGAATGGCTTGCTGTTGGGGAATGGAGCACCACATGGGTTGGTGCACAATTTAAATGACATTGCCTCGGAAGTGCCGACAGGTGCCTGGCTCAGAGCAGCCTCTTCCCCTTCTCTCCTCACCCATTCCTTTTTTGCAAAAGGAGAATTGAGTCCTCCAAGAGACTTTGTCTCCCTGGTAGTGCGCCTGTGGTCCGTACAAAGAACTAAAAATTAACCCTCAGGCCAAAGTGTTGTCGGCACACGTGTTCCTATTCTGTTTCTTCTCCACAACTTCTAGGAAGCCCTGTTTGTCCCCCAGCCCACGTCGATCTTCTGCCTGCTCTGGCCCCTCCTGCCAGCCGCACAAGCTCCTCGAGGGCAGAACTGTCATCTCGCCGCTCTCCCTCTAGGTCTGAAACAGGATCCAGCAGAGCGCAGGAACCTGACACACACGAGTGTGAAGAGGAACCACCTGCTCTGCTAGCGGACACCAGGCTGATCGTGACTCATTGGTCTTCTATGGTTGCTGATTAAGAAGACAGAGACTGTACATTATGCTTCTTCTGTATTCCCTATATGGTTTCCATGGGTACTTTTGGACTGATTAGAGTTCTGTTCATTGAATCTATCTACTGCCTGCAGTTCCTGGGACCTATAGTTTGTGTTTTTCTTTTTTTTTTTTAAAGCAAACTGAACTTTGCTGTTGCTTGCTCCTCCCTACTTGGATATTTTCCTCACTGATGTTGAAAACAGATGCCGACAGTCAGTGGTCTGGCCCATGGGCAGGAGCCCCTCGCACACCCTGCCCTTTGCCCAGCTAGGCTGAGCCCCACAAGGCCTCTGGCCAGGCCGGGACATGGGCTAAGAAAAGAATGTGGGGTGGGGGAGGGGGAAAAGGGGTGGAAAAGAGAAGGCCGAGGAAGTAGGAGAAGGGGCGAGAAAAGGAAGGGTGGGGGTTGGAAGAAAGGAGAAGGGAAGAGAGGGGAGGACAAGAGGCGGCTCCGTGGGCTGGCCCTGTAGCTGCAGGCTGTCACCTCAACTTGGCTTGGGCCAGCCGGGTCCCCCAAGGCCTCTGCCTGCTCTATCCCAGGGGGGCCTTGAGGGTGGTTGGGTTTGAACAGGCCATGGGCTCCGCACACCTCGTTCTATGCTGTGCCCAGGGCACCTCCCTCTCTGGGGCCCAGCCATGGCAGCCCAGGCCTTCTGGCCTTCCAGAGCCCTGGTTCCTGCCCTTCCTGCCTTCAGAGCCCCTCTTCCTGCCCCCGCCTGGAGGTTCTTGCAGGAGTGCCTGCGCCTTATCAGCTGTTTGATTAATATTCCCCAAACCCAGGCCAATACTGAGGTTGGGGCCCAGGTTCCTCTGTGCTGGCTTTCCTGAAGGGCTACGTGCTGATGCGGTTAACTTTGGGGCCAAAGTGCCTGTGCCACACCCAGGGCCTTCCACTTCAGTAGCACAACGGGACTCAGGAACAAAAGCCTCCGCGGGGCAATGAGGAAGCCAGAGTGTGAGATAAAACGACTCCAGGAATTATCAACCTTGACTGGGGGCTGCAAGGATAATGTTCAGCGAATGTCTCCGACACACCCACCATGACCTTCACGAAACCTTTCTCAGGAGGCGAGTACCAGCTGGGCAGCCAGGGGCACGGGGCTCTGTTACAGCCCATGGCATTTTCAGGGATGATGGCGACATGGGGGATCTCTCTTGTCTCTGTTCCTTGGGGAGGGCATCTACCTCGTCGTCAGTGCAGGCTGATGTAGGACTCCCTACAGTCCCTACTGCCCACCACCCCACCTTCTCCCCTCTTCTCCCAACCCTGGGCAGCAGACAGGAGAGGAAGGAGCCAGCGTGGCATAGGGGGAAGAGCACAGAGGCCGGATCCCGGAGGTTCTGCTTTGCCCGCGGCAGGCGGAATAACCAGGAGCAATGCATCTTTTTTCTGCGCTGCAGCAGAAGAGCTTTAGCTGCCTGCTTTCCATGTTTCCTTCTCTCTCTAAAGTTTGCTGGTTCTAAATTACTCCACGGCCCCTAAGGAAGGATGCACTGAAGTGGGAGGGAGCGTGGGAGTGAGCAGAAGGGTAGGGGGGCAGGAGCAAGATGCTGTGGCCTGCATTCCAGAATCTTCCCTGGCCTCCTGGGACTTGAGCCAGCCTACTCTGGGAAGGGCACATCAGTGCATATGGACAACTGGGCAATTCATCACCCACTTTCCAACACAGAACGCCAGTCCCAGGAGGAAACCTCCTCTCACCTTTTGTTCTCCCGGCTCAGTGGGGGCTTTTCCATCCATCTCACTCTAGAAATAAAATCCACTTGGACTTTTCTTTTTCTCCCTTTGAGATGCTAACGCTTGGATGTCTTCGGGTTTCTTTGCTTGAAAGCTTGAGACAGAGGGCTTTGTTGGAAAGCAGCTGGGGTGAACACTTGAAGATGGAGGTGCAGGGGATCCTCAGCCACTCACCTCCCTCAACGTGCAGCGAGTCACTATAACCCAGGCCTTGGACTGATGTCTTAGAAGAGGGAGCCAGTCCTGGTCCTTTGTCGTTCTTACTGTCACTTATTCCTGCAGAACTTTTCCAGGGCTGTGACAGGAGCTTCAAGGGAAACGCACTGATCCACTCTCTTCGCCTCTCATTTCCCCTCTAGTCCAGGGTCCCAGCCTTTTCAGGATGCCCCAGCTTAGCCTCCCACTCAGGCTTCTCCCAGATAAGTGATGTAACAAGCTGGCAGAGACAAAATTCAGGAGAGGAATTCCCCTGCTTTCTGGCTGGCAGCTGGCGACTTCTAGATGACCTGGCCCCTTCAGCGACCAGGCAGAGGCTGTCTGGGTCACTGCTTCCTGTTCAACTGCGTGCCTGGTGGTTTCTTATTCATACTCTGGACAAAGCACCGTACAGTAAATGAGATGATCTCCATGGAAAAAGAACACTGGCAAGCGTGGCTTAGCCAGACGCATGACCTGCTGAGAAAATACCCCAATATTTCCCTTCAGAAAAATCTTATGGGTGAGCTTTCTTCTTTTGTATTTCCTTGTAAAGATGTGATCTGCCTGTCTCTGTTGGTTTTAAACTGACATTATAATGACTGGTACAGGCCAAGCGCTCAACAACTAAAGGCCTCGGGGGGATGGAAGTGCTGCAGATGACAGAAAGACTCTCACAAGTCTCTGATAGACAATGCAGCCCCCTTGGGCCAGTTAGAAAGGGCACTTCTTCCTTATGAAAAAAAAAATTTTCTGGAAGTGTTAGTATATTGTTATATAATTTGGATAACCCACATGGCAGCATGTGTTCTCTGTGCATCCCCCTCCCAGGTTTGAAGACAAATGTGAGAGTAGTAATTGAGTCACTAAAAGCAATAGGAGAGGGAAAGAAACAGTTTCATAGGATGCCTGGAGTGTGGCTGGGAAAAGTCAGTCTTGCACATGTGCATGTGCACTGGCTACGTGCACAGCTGTGTGTGCTCCTATCCCAGGACTTGGTCTTGAGCTCCAGTCCCAGAGTTCCAGATCTTCACAAACACATATAACCTCCCATGTAAGTAAGAACACATCCACAATGTGAATGGTATCCCAATGTGTGTGGTATGCTTAAACAGTGCACAACCTGAAGAACTGTACATAGTGGCCTGGCCTTCATAGGCTTCTCTCCAGAATTGAATGATCCCTGTGCAGGTGGTAGAGAGGGTTAATGCCTGGCTCGATTCTCCCCTCCCAGCTCCTCAGGAAGCTGTATAGCATCATGATTGATCACATAGACTTTGGAGTCAGACTCCTGCCAAGTTAATATTCCAGCCTTATTTTTTACTGGGAAAATGATATGGGTTAGATTACTTATCCTCTTTAAACTTCATTTCCCTAATCTGTAAAACAGAAGAAAATAGCACCTATCTCATAAACTTATTATGTAGATTAAGTGTGACAATCCGTGTAACTCAAAGTACCTGGCATGCAGTAAATTCCCAGTGAGATGCTCAGTAGCTGATAATATTAATAGCTTTGTTTGCAGGAACAGGGGCCAGGTGTCTTATAATGATCAAACCTTTAAAAAAATGTCATTTTTGAAGGTTTTTATCTATTCAGAGGTCTGCTACTTTCTTTTTCTTTTCCTTTTATTCCATTTGATCATTTTGGCATTTGAAAGATTAAAAAGAAAAGCATTTGTCTAAGGACGGGTCTGCATTGATTTTATATTCTAAAATAGGTATTTGTCAAATTTTCATTATTTTATAAATGATGTTATTTTGCATCCCTTAAAGGTATCTTTCCTATATATTGTTTACTTTTGAACACTTTGAAGACTTTTTGATTACTAAAGACATAAACTATAGTAAAGGCCAATTAGTTGTAAAATATGGGACCAGTTTTCAAAGCAATGACCCAGGGCATCTACCTCGTCGTCAGTGCAGGCTGATGTAGGACTCCCTACAGTCCCTACTGCCCACCGCCCCACCGTCTCCCCTCTTCTCCCAACCCTGGGCAGCAGACAGGAGAGGAAGGAGCCAGCGTGGCGTAGGGGGAAGAGCACAGAGGCCGGATCCCGGAGGTTCTGCTTTGCCCGCAGCAGGCGGAATAACCAGGAGCAATGCATCTTTTTTCTGCGCTGCAGCAGAAGAGCTTTAGCTGCCTGCTTTCCATGTTTCTGTCTCTCTCTAAAGTTTGCTGGTTCTAAATTACTCCACGGCCCCTAAGGAAGGATGCACTGAAGTGGGAGGGAGCGTGGGAGTGAGCAGAAGGGTAGGGGGGCAGGAGCAAGATGCTGTGGCCTGCATTCCAGAATCTTCCCTGGCCTCCTGGGACTTGAGCCAGCCTACTCTGGGAAGGGCACAGAGTCGTTTAAGTTAAGTATCACATAAGACCTTGGCCAAGATAGTCCCTTTCTGAAGCTTTATGGGGTGGGGGAGAGTCCGTTCTGGCTCCTCCTCTCGGGCATCTACCTGAATTTGCTTGCCCAGCACAAAGCCAGAGGTGGCGCTTTTACACCGGTTTATGGCACTGTGACCTTCTGCGGGTGCCAGATTCCAGAAAATGTTAAATAATACTTGAACCCAATGCCAGACCTGGGAAGAGCTTTATCCACTCCCTGGCCTCCCATCTCCAATCCCCCCAATCCCAGTTTTAGCAAAGGATTTTATTTGCTGAATAGACACACAGGAGTAAAACTCAGCACACAGAAAGCTAACCAGTGCAAGGAAAGTCATTGGTGCTACCAAACAATCTGTACTGATCTCTTCCTTTTTCCGAAACATGTTTTCTAATGAATAATGAAGGGCAATGTATAGAGATGTTCGATGCATCCACGTGGCTGGCAGTCAAGCTTGCATCCTTCCTCAACAGCATCCCAAAGTTTTCTGCTTACTCTACCCACACAGGCAATCTTTTCTCTATCCTCAGCATTTGTGACAGAAATACATCCTTCCCCCGCCCCCACTCCAGCTCTGATCACAGTACTGAAAGCTGAAGAAAACGTTATTTAAAAACAGCCGGATTACTACAAGTCCTTGATGGCTCACTCATTAACTCCTAGGAGAGGGGTGCTATGTGATTCGTCACTCTTCCGAATAACAAAGTATCTGTATAGCACAAATAATCATTTCATAATGACATTTGGCAGGCTTTTATAACCTTGACCATCGTTTGACTGATAGCAAAGATTGCAATCCAGCAACATTCCCACCTCCAAGCACAGAAGACATTCCCAAGGCAGTCGGTGGAGTGCTGAAACGGTGTAAGTTCCCGTACAGACGGCTGGTAAAGACACAGAGTAAAGAATCCCAGGCAATCACTTCATGGATTATTTCATGGATCACAGGAGTTTTTAGCCTAAGACCTTAGCTGCACCTCATCTCAGGATGTTGGTATAAATCATTGCAGAAAAACATGATCAGCAGTGCTTTCTAGAGTGACTTGAGTCTGGGGATTGAAACAAACATTTCTCTTTCTGGTTGGGATTATTTTGGTTATGATGCTATTGAAAACATATGTTATGCTGTTATTCTGTGCTAATGAATCCCTGACCCTTGTGGGATGGAAGGGGCCCAGAATAACCAACATGCCACCCAGGAGGCAGCTGGTCTCCCTGAGGAATGGTGCTCTATGGGGAACATGGTGCTGAGTTCCATTGCTGGCAACTTAGATGTTCGTTGGCAACAGTGCTAAACTGAACCTCAGTTCATGGAGCCCATGCCGTTTGTGGGAGCCCATACAGCACCCTCTCCCTTTGACTGGGATCACTTCACTCACATGTCAATTGTGCCAGCACCACAGTGCCCATCACCAGGGCTGGCTGAGGTCGGATAGCCAAGTCATTCTGTCTGCTTGGTAGTTCGGTGTCTCCACCGTGGTGGATATTCTCTGCTGGGCATTAGCATATGATACCTCACACTTCATGCCACTCCCACGTCCACTCACTGTCTCTGATCAGTCCAATATTGCTCTTTCCAGACCTCTGTACATAGTCTAACATCAGACTACTTTTCCTTTCATGCACAGTAGATGACCATGTGCACTGCCCAAAGTTCTGCCAGTTGAAAGGACTTTCTCTTGCCCCTGTTTTCCAAGGCCACTCCTTGTAACACACCTACTGTTCACTTTGAACTTGAGCTTGCATATCAAACCAACTGGCCTATAAATGCAGTGTATGCTTTGTCCCCCTCTGCCAAGCGTTATCAGGTATCCTCCCGTGTGGTCCTTTGCAGGCTGAGGGTGGAGCGCTGGTGCAAGACTTACCCTAGTTGATATGAGGGGCTGGGCTAACTGCTCCTGCAACTGGCTTGTGCCCTCAAGTCCTTATTGTTCTCAGTCCCAGCTATACCACTGGCTACCTATGATGGAGTAATGCTTCCTGACCCTACGACTTGGTGGGTGTAAATACTCTCAGTTCATGATGCTCTGTTCTGCACTCATATGCGTCCTGTGTTCGGGTATCACATCTCTACCAGGGCCCCGTATCACATCAGAGGTTGGTTTTTAAAGACAGGTGATTCTCCCTTGCAGATGGCGTAGCCTTGCAAAAGAACCCCAGGGGACTCTGTGTCCCGGCTGTAGTTCTTCCACTGGGCTTGCCATAAGCTCCTCGTAACACCCTTTGCCAACACCTGCATCGCTAATATTAAGTGGCAAGACAACTTACAGATCGGCCAGGACCTGCTGCACAGCCCTTTCCTGCCCTGGGCCCCACTCAGAGGTAGAATCTGTGGTAATAGAAGAAACCTCATTTAAAATGGAGTTGAGGAGCCCTGTAGGGGGCGCTCTCATGCATGAACCAATCCTTGCATCCTGCCTAGGGGGCAAGAAGGAAGAGAAAAATATCTTGACTATGAAGGACATTTTTACAGAGGAATTTTATCTTCTGCTGCTAAGGAAAAAAAAAGCAAGACCCCTCCCTCCTTCGGCAGTAACACAGTAACCACCACTTGCAGCCAATGAGAAACCACCACAACCTCAAACTTTTTTTCTTCTCTAATGAACTTTTGTTCCAAACAACCCACCCTAATTTTCTCCTAAGACTTAATAAAATTAAAACTGACCTTCCCTCTGTCTCTCTGGACTTGCCTCTGGTTGGCCATGATTTGCTTGTCCTGAATGGCAATTTCTTTGCTCTTCCTGAAAAAAAACTCATTTTGCTGGTAAAATAACAGGCCATTTTATTTTTAAGCTTGACAAAGCATTCATGCCCCTTGGTGGATGAGCTGGAGAAGGATTTCCAGATTTGGAATATGCGGCCACCAGAACCAGAGAGGCCTGTCAGATATGTGGCTTCCTTCGCTGTGGCGGGAGGTACAAGATGTAGTGTCTTGTTTTTTCCTGGGGGTGAGATTTCTCCTGATCATGGGGCCTCTAAAAATATTGCTGATGTCACAGTCTCCTGAATCTTCATGAGGTTTATCTCCCATCCCCTGAGTCATGTGGGTTTTACTAAAGCCTCCAACATAAGGCTATTTCTTGCTCTCATGGCCTGATTAGCATAATATCATCAATACATAATGGGTCCATGTGAGGTTCTTCATGATGCCCGGATGGTCCAGATCCCTTTGGACTCTGTCCTGACAGACTGCAGGGGAGGTAAAATTGTAAATACATGTTGTTTTTCCCACACACACAGATGCAAATGGTTTCTAATCCCCCGTCTCTGAAGGCAACGGGAAGAAGGCATTCACCAAATCAAGGCTACATACTATGAGCCTGAGGCCACGTCAGCCTGCTGTAACAGATAAGCAAACTAGCTGGAACTGGGACTAATTGGTTGAGTTGGCAGTAGTTCATTGTCATCCTGCAGGGACCAGCTATTGAATTGCCCTGGGCCCCACTCAGAGGTAGAATCTGTGGTAATAGAAGAAACCTCATTTAAAATGGAGTTGAGGAGCCCTGTAGGGGGCGCTCTCATGCATGAACCAATCCTTGCATCCTGCCTAGGGGGCAAGAAGGAAGAGAAAAATATCTTGACTACGAAGGACATTTTTACAGAGGAATTTTATCTTCTGCTGCTAAGGAAAAAAAAAGCAAGACCCCTCCCTCCTTCGGCAGTAACACAGTAACCACCACTTGCAGCCAATGAGAAACCACCACAACCTCAAACTTTTTTTCTTCTCTAATGAACTTTTGTTCCAAACAACCCACCCTAATTTTCTCCTAAGACTTAATAAAATTAAAACTGACCTTCCCTCTGTCTCTCTGGACTTGCCTCTGGTTGGCCATGATTTGCTTGTCCTGAATGGCAATTTCTTTGCTCTTCCTGAAAAAAAACTCATTTTGCTGGTAAAATAACAGGCCATTTTATTTTTAAGCTTGACAAAGCATTCATGCCCCTTGGTGGATGAGCTGGAGAAGGATTTCCAGATTTGGAATATGCGGCCACCAGAACCAGAGAGGCCTGTCAGATATGTGGCTTCCTTCGCTGTGGCGGGAGGTACAAGATGTAGTGTCTTGTTTTTTCCTGGGGGTGAGATTTCTCCTG